AGAGCTATAGGTGCACAGAATGCAGGTCTTTCTTGCTTCACCCTAGTCTGCAGACTATTGCCATGCTGTCTTCTGAGAAGGGAAAAATGAATTTTTATCTAAGGGCGGTGAGTACACTTTTTGTGCTCACAAGACACTACCATACCTATGTATATGGATTATACATATACACAGTGCAAACGGAGATTTTCCGTGCAAACTCATGCTGTGACCCCTGTAACTCAACCCTCCCCTGTGAGCCAAGCCCCTCTAACACAATGTATTACACACACGTATCAGTGTATTTCAGGTTTCTCCTGAACTGCTGCAAAAGGGCTCAGGCAACCAAATGGAGCAGAAAGGTGACAGAACCTCTGCAGAAAACCTGCCTGACAAGCTGCATCTTGGTGGCAAATGAGCACCTCAAGCTCACCCAGCACTGTTTTTTCCCTTAGCAGTGGTTCCCAGCTTCCAGGAGGGCACTGGGGGACAACAGCTCCTGGTTGTAGTTACGCATTACCTGTCGGTAAACTCTCTGTGTTGTACAACACACCTCTTCATTCTGTGCTTTAAACTGTCCCCAGTTGAAGCTACTGCACGTTGTGGCATCCACCTCTGTAAGCCAGTTAAAGAACATCATGTAAAAACGCACACATCTACTTAAAATAAAAGCTTCTGACCACCAAGTAACAAACCCTGGTGATTGTTTGGGCCAGGCGATGTGGGCAACTTTTCAGAGGTGCATGTGTGCCTTTATCAGAGCAAACGCTGAGAAGAGGACAAGCCTTGTGAAAGCACAAGCTCTTGATGCACCTCCTTTACGTGGCACACTTGTGTCCCTGGGAAGGTGGTTTGCTCTTATGGCATGGGGATTTATAAATAACCTTCGGTGGGAAGAGCAGTGGGACATGAGGAGCTGTGTCCTTTCTGGAGCAGGTGTCTCTGCCACTGGGACGGGGTGCCAGAAGGGGACTCAGGCAACAGAATGGAGTGCAGACCTGTCCTTTGCAGCCCATCCTCTGCTTTGCTCCTTTTCTTGAATCTCTCTGTTTTTGCTCAGTCCAGCTCCCTCAAAACCCTTAAGTCCTCTCGTTCGCTAAACTTAAATGACATTTATGGTCCCTATTTATCTCCAGTCAAAAGCCTAAGTCCCGCTTCCAGTTCAGCCATGATCTGGGAATTTTTCACCTGTTTTTGAAGTATGTATATTCCTGCTTTCTCCAAAGCTGCCATCCAGGTTTAGAGACAGTCCCCTACAAACACGCGTGATCCCACCTAACCTCTCGTTTCCTCTGAAACTCTCCTCTGGAAAAAAATCAAATGACAAACAGCTGAACTACCATTTGTTGAGATTCTCACCAGTGGCACCCATTCATCAGGCTGTACTGTTCCTCTGCTCCCATCATCCGCTTCTTGTCCTCTGTTTGGACTGAAAACTATTGGTAGCACATACCCTCTTTGAGTTCAACTAGGAATGGACTTCCTAAAGTCAAAGCACCCCTTTATAAATACACAGACGAGAAATGTAACCCTACTGAAAATTAAACCAAACCCAGTATGTTTTAAGTCAGCATATATATATATAATATGCATATATATAAATACATGTAAGTGTTTGTGTGTTTATGTGACTCTCGTAATGAAATAGTATCTATATTCATTTATATAAAACATTACTATGGCTACACTATTAAAGAATGGTAATCTCATTTAGGTTTTTCTCATGGAAGAACCCACACAAGACATTAATTACACTTATGTATCAAAATCTCCATTAGTTCAAATGAATACTGTGCATTTATTTATCCAGAAAGAGATGCAGTTCCCCTACAACAGAGTTGTAGTTCTGAGTGTTTTCAAATCTGAGTGCCTTTGCAACTGCATATAGACTCCAAATACAGACTGTATGAGATGGGTATCTATCTTTTAACACAGACTTTTAATTTTCTTCAACAAACTTGTCTCTCCACTTAATTTCATAAAAGCAATACATGAATCTTCTCACTCTCTGCATATATACATATGCATACACATATATGCATATACATATACACATACACATACACACAAAAAGGAGCGCCTGTTTCTTTTTGCCCAGTACCTTGCAGTATGTTTTGCTTGCTTGTTCTGTTTCAGACAAAAACATCGAGACCATTTTCTCCATCACATGTTCACAAAGGCAACGACAAGCTCTAGACAGCACAGGCTGGTACCTGAACCAACCCCGTCAATCCCTGTGCTCACTAAGTAGAAGGCAACCTTTAACACTTGGTTCGAGAGAGGAAAATGGTTTTGGTAGATACAGAGGCAACTAAGCAAGAAGTTAAGGCTTGAGAACCTGGTGGCTTATCAGGCAGATTCCACAACTACAAACCTCACTGTGGGTGTACTGTGAAATACCACTCAACTGTCTAGGAAAGTCCCCAATAAATTTCTCCGATGTCTCAGAAGACAACACTCCCAGTCTAGCAGAGAAATTTTAATAGTAGAAACTACTTCTATTTCAAAATACCAAATCCTGGCTTTACTAAAACCAGCGTGCATTTCCTAGGGACTGCAAATCCCCTCCATGAAAAGTATGCTGTATTCTCTGGATGCCTAAAAAAACCTGTGTCACACAAAATAGGAACTGTGCGATGAGATACTCAAAACGTATTGGACGAACCCTGTGTGGGATGTGAAGAACATGCTCTTTGTGTTCCCAGAAATGGTCCATGCAAGTTTCACCAGTGAGTGGAAACAGAGCTGTTTTTCAGCTCCAGTGTGTGATGCTTTCTTCTATGGCTCTTGCATGAAACAGGAACTGTGTTCAACAGCATCCGAGACCCCTCCTTTCACCACTTCTTTTTTTTCTTAATTGGAAATCACAACCCTGGAAGCATTCTGAGCACAAACTGCTGCCCCAGATGTCAAGGGGAGTTTTCAACTGACATCACCAAGACCTGAATTTTACCTCTTATGTTTGACCATGTTTTGTGAAATACCCAGCAAAATGGGGCTTTCCATACACACAACAGTGACAAATATTTGAGTACCCCTTGTACAGGTAACAGTAAGAAAGGATTTAGACTTGGAGAATATCCAGTTACATGTCCCAGATGCCACTCAATACATTTTAAAACTCCAAGGAACAAACACACTTTGTGCTTGTCCCTAGAGCAGGGCAATGTCTGAAAGGGCATAGGTCACATCTAATTTACCCTGGGCTAGGTGGACCTTTATTTCCTACAAGCAAAATTTGACTTCTACTAAAGTAATTCACTACTCTTTATTGCTACTTTGGATAAAATATTTGTGAAGGAAATAACCTTCAAAATTAAAACCTGTCTTTGTTTCAAAGCATTTAACTAGTCTGCATATACAAATTATTGTAGGTGTTTTTTAACTTACATTTGGCCTTTGCTCTGTAAGAGCAGGTTTTCACAGTTCTCTGGATACAGAAATGTCTGTAGCCTACACACATACAAAGCCACTCAGCTTCATGCAAACAAAACCTTTTGACTGAAAAGCAGACCCTGCCTAAATAAAGTAAGCATAGCAGCAAGCCAGATCCTGAAGGAAGTCGATCAAAACCCAGGAAAACACACAGTCATTCCAAAATCCCCTTATTTTACCCACTGGAAAATACTAAAAAATACATACAGCACACTGACCTTATTAAAAACTATGTCATGTGCCAAAAGCTGCACAAATTTTATGTCATTTCTGGATAAGGACTTGTATGCCTAAAGGGCTTTTTTTCAGTTTTATCAGTCAATTAAAAGAGATAAAGAAAGGTACCTCTCTCTCTCTCTCCCTAAATCTTGTCCTGCAGTTTCCTGGTATATTTTCCAGGCCAAGTGAGACTGCAGATCTATACTTTAATACACACATGTTCATTCTGATTTCCAAAACATCCTTCTCTCTTCTGTATTCTTTTACCTTCTCCCCTTTGTACCTGGTGTTGCCTTCTGTTATGTTTCTGATGACCTGCATCTTATTCTAAATGTCTGTATTAAATACGCCTGTGTGTATATAAATAAACACATATACACACAATATACAAACACAAGTACATACAGAAACATATTAAATGCTTGAGATACATGTGTATACTGGTTTCACAGAGTCACAGTTTGGAATCTTGTATTACTTCAGCTTGGTTTTATAGAGGTGTTCACCTCTCTCCACCCTGAAACTCCTGAGGTGCTAATATTGAGCATTTCTCAGAGTCAAGCCGAGCAAGCTTATTTATCACTCTAAAATTCTAAACCAATATTGTACTGTCTTGGCATATCATCCTGTTACCTTCTGTGTAAGCCTGAATCACCCTTAAGGTTAATATTCCAGTCTGTTATCAACATCAAGTTGCTTCAACAGTGAGGATTTGGCAAATGCAGGGTCATTCGCATCTTTGACAGTAGAAAACCAGAACTATAAATAGAAAAGTTAGCATTTTATCATTTCCTTTTAAGACAGTGTGTAGCCAGCTCAAAAAATGAAACCAGCCCATAGGGACACAGCATACATCCATCATTACCGAGTCTGTCTGAATTAGACATGGAAGACATTCAAATCATTTCAGTTCTGATCTTATTGTACCATTCAATTAATCTTTATTGCTTCCTATGAGTATCTTCTTCCTGACCTGTATCTGAATAGGAATTCACTCAGTCTGTAAAAGTTTAAATTTACAGCAGTCACTTACCAGACTTGCAATATGCACATGAATTTTCTCTCATCCTACCTGTTTATTATGTGCTGAATGACAACTTTTATTTGAAAAGGAATTAAAGAAATAAAATATTACAAGCATTAATAAAACTTTCCAAAGAATGACATAATAGTCCCATAACCCTTTATGGAGTTGAAATTGTAATGACCTTCAAACCTCTTATTACTGTAAAATAACATGTAAGCTAGACAAATTAGAAAATGCTAAATGAAGAAAATATTATTTTCCTTGATAGGTAAATCTAGTTGTTGTGGTTCTTGGAGCTTCTTTTCCTAGTCATTAAGCCTGATAACATGTCTAACAAGGATTTACACAAAAAAACCCACCTACTTTCTTTCAAAAATAAATTTAGGTGATATCCAGTAATAATTAGAAACTAACGTTACTTTGAAGAGCACAACCAGACTAGAAACCACCGAGTGATCTGAAGGCTTGGGAACAGTTCATGTCATTCATTAGCACTGCTTTGAATCACCAGTCACGCGGAGCCAGTTTCTCTTCTCCAACGTTTGTGCAGGGACGACCTTCGCGAGTCTGTCCAGCAGGTGGCTTTGATTCTCTTCCAGATGTGTACAAACCCTTCGAGGGAAGTTCCTTCGCACGAAAAACCATCAGTGCTGCAGCAGAAAATTAGTGGCTACATTTAAGTCATTATTTGAAGCCCTCAGGGCTTCTAGAGCATCTCCCCTAGAAAATCCCATTTCCATAAGTCGTGCAACCTGGAAAAGAAGTAACATAAGACCACTTTAAAACCAGTTTTATTCACAATGCGTGTGCCCTAGTCATGTTAACAGTATCAGAGATTGCTTTTCCATTGATAGGGCTGCTGAGCCTCCCCAGAGAATAAGCAAACACAGCTATTCACTGTCACAAAGATGCATCTGGGACAGCACACTTGAGAACACTGCCACAGAGATGACTGCTTTCTGATACTCCATTCAAAACCAACCGTTTGCTGAAAATGCCACACCTGTATTTTCCTAGCTGGTCCATTTTTGAAAGAAGAATAAACCAGAAAGTATGGCACCACACATCCCAACTACAATCTGACCTTGGGGCTTGCTGCTTTTGGCAAGAACAGGACTTCAAGAATCCAATAGTATGCAAAATATGGAGTTTTATAGCAGATGCGGAAACCTGTCCAGACATCCTTAGCTCTGCTTTCCTTCAAAATACCTACTTCTTCAGAGGCCATTAAAGAACACAAAACTATTCATTCTAGGTGGTTTCTAAAATAAACCTGAAAGCCCTAAAAGAGAGGCTTAAATAGGTTCAGTTAAATTCTTGGAAGGATTCTATGTATTCTCAAAACAGCATAAGTCAATGACACTTGATGGAAGGATTATCTGGAAAAGGGCACATTAAGACAGTGATTTTGGTAATCGGTAACCACGTGTCCATCCTTCTTTATAATATTGTGTACTTGACACCTCAGCTTTTTGCTCTGCGCTAACAGATATTCAAACTGCCACATGTAAAAAGCAATGTATGCATAACCAAATTTAATTTATGGTTAAACTCCAATCTAAAGTAAACTTAAAAGCGACAGTTCTCAATTAAGTATGACGGAAAGAATCTTCCTGGAGTGCACGAGCAATGTGCGCTAGTATTGAAAATAATTTAAATGCCTTTTAAAATAAAGGTGCCATTAAAAGCAACCTCCCCTTCCTGTAGTACACCCCCCCAGAACTGTCAGCATTTTTAATCTTCCCTGCTTTGGTGGTTTACTGAGAAATATGCTACTGCCAAGTATGCCTGGAGGTGGGGGCCCTCCTTTTCTTAACCTCAATACACCATTACAAAACATTTGAAAACTGCTATCTTGGTTGTCAGAATATCAAATACCATACTGATCATTTTTCTGCCTTTCCCCTTTTTCCCCCTTACAACCCAATGTCAGTTTCTCACTTTCTGGCAGAGAGAGAAATGAATTGTTACTTTCAATACCTCTGCAACCAGTTTAACTTCAAACTGGATTTCATTACCTGTAACTAGTTTCTAAAGTCTCCTCTCTCTGATTTTTCATTTAAGATTGGGTTTTTTATGAGAAAAAGGGCAGGCAGTGGAAGAAAAGCTAACCACAGAAATACATTTCAGGAGAGAGGGTTTTTTTACAGCAGTTGCCATGAATTCTAACCTTAAGAAGCTGTGGATGGAGTTGCAATGGTCCCATTTACAGAAATGTCCAGCCAGTATCAGGGAGAACAGATTGTAACAACAAAAAGCTCTTTTCATCTGAATGTATTTTAACCACAGGAACTGAATCGACTCAAGGAAACAGGTACTGGTAACAGTAATTTAAGGTGCTAAAAAACCCACAAGAAATGCAGAGATTTTTGTATGCACAAGCATTGCAAATACTTGCAAATTTTAATCTGAAGAACAGAAGAAAACCTTGTATTTCTGCCACTGTAAGACACCTTGTGCAGTTATGACAGTCCTGAGAAATCAAAGGTGCTTATATTACTTTTTTCTCTGCAGGGTAACTAGACAGCATTGCAAATGACAGCAATAAGGTGCGATTTACAACTTCAGTGCATGAGAAAATATAAGTGTATAGTGCTTTCACAAATCTGGGCATAAATGCTTTGGGTGAGAATCCAGCATAAATCACACTAATAACTATTCCATTAGCTCCAGCCCAACAATAAAAGTTCCCATAATCTGATTTGCAATAAAACAAATAAACAGTCCAAGGAAGGAGGGAGATCTTTTGGTCCACCCCATACCTGGCACTAAGTAGGCTTTCAGCCCAGCCAAAACTAAGTTTCTGGGTTTTGTTTCAGGCATTCTTTAGTGTGGGGGTTTTATTTTCCTCTTTCCTTTTTTATTTCTGGTATTTTTCTTTCCCCCATTTTGGATGTATGCCGACAGCTTTGCAGTTTTGAACATTTTGAACATAATCTAACATTGAATCGAAACTAGAAATCAGATCATAGCAAAGATTTCTGTTTGAGACAAGCTCATTTTAAAGTAACTACAAATGACAGCACGGTGCTACCAAGTGTTGACTTATCTCCTAAAAAAAAAGGGTTATGGGGAAAGAAAAATGTGCCCTTGAAAACTACTCTTGCTCAAGGGTAGCACAGACCTTAGACTATAAAATGGCCAATAGAGCCAACTGCAGATAGGCTACAACCTGGAGAACTTGAGTGCATGCAATAAATCCTGAATATGGAAATAAGACTAATCTTAAATTCTTTAATTTCTCAGTAAATCACCCTCTCTTTTGAGAATAAAACTATAAAACTATCTACAGAAGTCTAGAAGTCTAAATCTATACAGTAAGTCTAAAAATCTATACTTGATAGAAAAGACAAACTTCTCTGTGGCATCAGTATGTAAAGTCAGTGAACCACATTTCTGAGGGAAACATCCAAATTTTAGACCAAGTGTGCACTGCAGTCCACAGCTAGCATAAAATTCCTATTTCCAAAAAATGGAACTTCAATATGAATGAATTGGAAACCTAAGCTGGAGACCTGAGTGAAGGAAGTGTCTACAAGACAAATAATGACATCTATTTGCCATTCCTCCTTCTTTGAAACATTTCTTTTTAATTAGATTTGAACAGCCAACACTAGTGAAACTGTCTTGTCTTTAAATACAAAACCCAAACAGTTAACACATAAAAGCAGAAACTCCCAAGCTGATCTGTAACTCTGATTTGGATAGTAATGGCAATTTCCTGCCTCTGTATTGTGACTGTTATCTGATACTCTAATTTGTGCTGCTATAGAGAACATTCAAGCAACTGTCTCAGTAGATAATAAAAAGTCAGTAGAGACAACTCCTAACCAGGTTTTCAATGACATTTTATAACACAAAAGCGTTTACCTGCTCTTCAGAAACCTCAGTAGGTGGAGGCGTCTCTTGTTCAGACGGGCGATGATCTTGGTAATTTGCATTATGTCTATGTCGCAAAGGAGGAAACAGTCTATTCCAGTTAATCATCCCACCCTGAAACCAGACACTGGTGTCAGTCTTTCCAAAAAGAACTACAGGTATTTTAAAACAAAAAGATCATCCATCCCATATAATACAAAAGGTAAAGGTTTGAGTAAATACTTTATTTTAAACAACAAACACTGCTGCAGTCTTTTATGAAGTTAAAATTGGGACTGGTTACTGCTTTACTAGTTATTACAAGCAATCACTGTAAATTAACAGGAGGAGGAAAGGCTGTTTCACACCAACTGTTAAAGATTCGCTTTACTACAGCACTAGCTTTCTGAGGTTAAAGGACCACTTTCTTTTCTGATTGGGATTTGCCTGGCAAGACATGCAACAGCGGGTCCTGCAAGTGCTCTGCAAGACTGTTGACGGAGTTAACTGGAGGAAAAGAGTGCAAGAAACAAGTGGTGGGAGAAAGCAAAAATGGATTCTCAGTGCATCAGCAAAACCACATCAGGAAACTCAGAACAATCCCAACCTTGAGGATATCTTGTGATTTCCATGCGAGTGATTACTCCTGTGACACCAACACTACTGTTTCAGACACACAGGCCACTTCACCTAAGTTCTGTGTATTAAATACCATTGCAAAATCTGGCTGTATTCCAGTGCCAAAACATTTTGTAACTACACAGCAATAATACAAATGCACAGGAGTAATGGCCGTACTGTGTAAATCACAGAACTGAAACTTTCTTTTAACAACCAAGCTTCAAGTCTTGTAATAATAAGATGTTTAGAATATAAAGTACAAATACTAAAGTACAAGCTTTATAACTGTCCCAAAATAATTAATCCTCATTTTATTAGCTTAAATAATTTTTTAATGGGACTTCATATCCCACTGAAACCACAGGGAAGAAGAACAAACCCCAAATCTCTCTTTTCTGTACAATTTGTTAACATATCTTTTGCCGTTTGGGTTGTCCCTTTTCCCCCTCCCCTGCTCCCCCTGTTACTATGGAGAAGATCCCCCCTCCCTTTCTGTATATATAGGACATGGACTTCCTTCCTTTAGTTGCTCTATTTTGGTTCTATAATGTTGTTTCTCAGAAGACCTTCCTCTTAAGAGAGTTTTATCTTTTCTTCTCTCAGCAAGGGCTCTTCCTGCCTTTATGTACCCCTGGAGCATTACAGGCTCTCTGTTCAATCACATCAGCAGCAGCTAAACCTGTTCCTAGACCACAAAAAACCAAAAAAAAAAAATTTTTTTTTTTTTTTTAAAAAAGCAGCATTTATTTAGTGTTCCTGCCCTTTCCTTTGTTTTTTTTTCTTTCTCACTAGAGGACACCCAACCAACCCAGATACTACAGGGGGCACTGCAACAGCACGCTTAAAAGTATATGGGGAGTCAGGAGATTTGAAACTCTAGCTTCTGAAGTGTTCCAGCCTCCCATATACCAGAGCACAGTTTTCCCTGTGAAGATGTGGAATAGCTAGGAGTCATCACTGGTTTTTAAGACATAGTTTCCACTGTTAGTAATTCTGAATTTCAAAACTGTTTATGTCTCCATATGTCTATTCTGTGTACTGTATAAAACATCTGCTTAAAAGTCATGAGGTTTTAACAAAGGATTCTGCATAAGCCTTGCATTAACCAAACAGTGTAGTGTAGCAAAAAGGAGAATTGGTTTGTAGTTTAAACCTGGAGAGGGATCTTCTACTGACACCACTGCACTACTCTGTGGTCGTGGAAAATCACATGCTCTGTACTTCCCCATCTATAAATTCCCCTAACTCAGAATTATGTTGAGTTTTAATTCATTAACTTTGGCTTTCTGAAAGTCTACAAAGCTCAACAGCTCAGCAAGAACACTGCACTAACGCTGCTTTGCCTGGTTTTACCCTTCTGTAAAGACTTGAGAAGAAAATAATCCTTCCACGGGTCATTCACATTACACTGGTGAACTGAAAAATGCCAACAGGACTATAACATATTTCTTTGAAGCACATGAAGTCATACAGAATAATGTATACAGAATATAAAATCTACAATAAATGTATTAATTTAGCAGTATTCAGTGTACCAGAAGATTGAAATAAATCTTCCCAGGTGTGCCCTCAGCTTCAATACTGAGCTGCCTATTCCAGTTTGATTTTGCATCCTCCCTGTCCTGTGCTGTTACCCAGCATTACAAAGAGACTTGTCTACTTCCTTAGCATGCATTTTAAATTAGCATACACAGAATCCATTGCTTTCAATTAAAAAAACGCAAATTCTTTACAAAGGCAGCTATTTAGTTTTCAAGGTTTACAGCAGCTATCTTGATAAACTACAGCTGTGGACTGATGGACTCTGGAGTGTCCCATGTGAAGATTGCTAACCCCTTCCCAAAAATACCAGATTTGACAAATTAGATCAAAATAGCTGTGAAAAGCTCTTCTTCCATTGCCCTCAGAATATTTCAATTACCTTGGAGGCTGAGACAAAAATAACCCATCCATTCTTAACTATATTAACAAGGTAAGAATATCCAACACACAACAACAGTAAGTATTAAAGGGTGTGGTATGTGAACATTGATGTTTAGGATTAATCCCAACATCATGGCCCACTTATCTTAGTATCACTTTACAAACCGGACCAAAACCAGGCACACTAGGGTTCTTTATCTCAACTGCAAGAAGACTGTTTCCCCCCCCAGTTATCCTTGATTACATGATGGACATGCACAAAGTCAGGCTCAATAAAGCAGATTCAGAGAACTGCAGCAGGAACTATGGGACTATGGGACTGTGGCCAATCCCACAGAGTAAAGGTAAGGAAAACTAGGAAGTGCAGCTAATGCCTTAGATCCACAGAAGATGGAGATCAAGGCTATGGAATTCCAGTGTGGACTGTGTAAACACTTCCAGACAACTTTAACTATCACAGCAGGAATACATGAAGATCTCTGACTTTTAAGATGACCCAAACCAAAAAGCTAAAAAAAAATGTTAGTGTTGCAAATTGCAGTTAAAAAATGTGCAGAGATTTCCAAACCAATACTCTGCCTTGTCTCACATAAATTATTTTGCACACCTCCCCTCCATAATTTTATGATGATTTCTGTACCAGCGTTTTCTGATCATGCCAATACACTCTGTGAGAAGTCAGTAAGATTTCACATGAAGATACCTATTCTGATTTATTTAATTGATGCCTCTAAACCATCTCAGAGTCCCTACTAAGAAATCAGCTACCAGTATTTATGCATTTCACAATATATTTGAATCCTGGCACTAGCACCCAACAGCACAGATGCGCTCGCACTCATCTCCTTACTCTCCACAGAAGCCTGTCTCAGATAATGGAGCTCCCTGGAGTGGCATAAAACGAACTAATAATTAAGTGGTAAGGACGATCAAGGGCCCAGTATGAAGGCTCCTTTCTTGAGCAGTACCTTCAGTAACAAGTGTCTGCCCGTCTAATCTATTCAGCGGAATCCAGGCAGCTCTTCCGTGATTCTGGTTTGTCAGTTTCTTATGAAAATAAGTTTAATACTAAATGGTCTGAGGGCTGGGACTTAACATGATTCAGAACCAGGTAAGAAGGATGCATCAAACCTCTTATATCCAGACCCAGTTTCCACATCTGGCAGACTGCGGCTATCTGGCACCCAGATTATTTCAGGTGACATTCTTCTTTATCCTGAATCTTAGATGCTGGGGGGCAGCAAGTGCAGGTGCTGCTCCAAGAGGAAAGGCAAGCTGAAAGCCAAGGTTGATGACGAGGCAAGCAGAGGCAGTGGCCTCACTGAAATGTGCTGTGTCCCTGTGTCCCCACAGGGTCCAAGTGAGAAGAGCAAAGCAGGTCCACCTGACAGTTACAATAGCCAGCCAAAAGTCCAGATCATCAGGCAGGTGTAAGATCAAGCCTAGAAGTCATGAGCAGGGAAGGAGACACACTGATTGGCACACAAGTATCCACAAAGCTCATCAAAGAGCAAGGGTGTTGATCTGAACTTAAAAGCTTAAACCACAACAAGCCAAGAGGCTGAAGGTTGCATGGACTGGTCCCAGTGGACCAGTGGGATGCTACGAGGGACTTCTATCTCCATTGCCAGCTGTTTTCATGGCAATAATCCAAAACTCTGTTTTTGGAAGTCCTGACTGCTGTACTACTAGAGACAGATAAGCATTAAAAAATTCAGTCTACAGACTATCATTCTAAAAATACTTTGTACAAATTGGTGGGGGGGCCCTTATTTCTGTCTGCAACATAGTCTTCCACATGTCATCAGGAAAAACACTTGACAAAGACTGCTTCATTCATTATTTGACTAGAAAGGTGACAGGGACACCTAAGAAAGGCCTATAAGCCCTTCCCCCTCCCTAACTTCTAGGCTGCAATTTCTGAACTAAAGAAAAATTCAGTTTCTTTTGGTTTAGCAGTGCAAAGAACGGGTGAATCAGTTTACTGTAAATTCTTTGTTACTGCCTGGTGGGAGACAAACATACCAACAAAACCATTTTATTAGTCTCAGATAAATTGATACTAGAGGTGGATGACAACACTGGTGATGTTGGAACTTCTGATACAGGAAAACAGAAAACTGGTTACAAGTTTAGGTGACCACAGAATGAGATTTAAGAATAGTCTGGATTAAGGGAATGGAAAAATAGCAGCTCTTCATCACATAAATGTTGTAAGGAAATGCCATATTGATGACCTACCCTTGAATAGATGCCAGGGCTTTACATACTGACGTTGGGCTTTGTGAGGTCACATCCTTGATGTCTTCCTTTTTTTTCAATAGTGTCTGGGACAATACATTTACAAGGAAAGGAGTATCCTCCTTTCCTACAGAGTAAGGGATATCCAGAGCTAGCAAATCTCTCTTGACTGTACAGCCTGCTAAAAGCCCAGTTTTGCCATTTCTTTTCACTCTTTTTACTCTCTTCCCTCTCCAGGCAGCTCTAACCTGTTTCCCATATACATACCTGCCACAGCATACTTTGTATTATTCTTAGCCAAAGTTTGGTAATTAAAAATGTTGTATTATGTACAATTAACCAATACTCAT